AGTTGGCTTTATCATTTTTCTACATAACAAAAACACAAGACATAAACAACAACCCCGTAACCTTGACAACCAAAGCATAACCTCAACAACCAAACAACAACCTCAACATCAAAAGCAGGAACCTTGCATGCTAACAGTAACCTCAACAACAGACTAGGAGCATTATCAATTAAACCATAACCTGAACAACATAAAATTTATGGTAAAAATTACTTTTTTTGTTTTTGCTACCACGAGCTTCTCTTTTTCTCCTCTCTGTAGATCAAGGAGCGCTCTAGTGACATCGTTGGACGCGGCGGTGGTGTCGGTGCGGCCCTCTAGATCTGGGCGGGGGCCTAGACTTAAATTTTGAGGTAGACTTCTAGGTTGAGAATGACTGGTTGCGATGTCCTCTTTAACATTAGCAATCACAACTTCAGCATCAGATTCAGTACACACTGTTGTTGTCTGGGCTCTTTTTGAGGTTTCGAACTGCTGGGTGTCATCGCCTTCGCTGTGGTCGGCATGGAGGCTTGCTTTCGGGGTTGAATCGCTGGCCATTTTTAATCCCTTTGCATTGATTCGGTGTGCTTTGGAGTCGGTTGATTTAGGGCTAGGGTTTTGAAATGGGTTTCTGGAGTCGGTTCGATTGGACAGAAAAGAGATGACGGGATACGAACAAAGAGTTAACTCATAACGGGGCAGTTTCAATCGAAGAGTATTTTGTGCATTTCTAAGGGGTTTAAACGGCGTTTCGCCTGGGGATTCGTTTTGAGGGCTGAAAGAAAATTACGACGAATTTTGGGAGCAAAACACCTGTCGAAAAAGTCTTAGGGGAAGAGGGAGCACGTTTTCTTTTGTTTTGGGGGCTGGAAGCATTTTCCCTTGAATTTTTAGTTTTTAGTTCGAGATAAATTGCATATAATTCACTAAAAAAGTCACATCGTTATCTAAAAGCTATGCTAAAATTATCATTTATTATTTTCTTTGTTAAGCTAAATGGTTCCTATAAGATGCGGACATAAGCATCCAAATGGTTTGTTCACGTGAGAATAACTAAATCGTGTGCATTGCACGGGCTAAATCAAATGACATGATAATTTAAATAAAAGTCAGGGTAGTATGAACCTTACAAAGTTTTTGCAAACTCACAATTTTTTGCAAACTCACAATTTTAAGAGGAGTATGATTATTTATACTTGGCTTAATTACAGTTAAATACTATATAGTTTCCCCTACTTTGCAGTTATATATCCTCACTTATGTTTTATAGCACTAACATACCCTAAAATTTTTAAAACATGCACTTATATGTCCTCACTTATTTTAGCAGCAATATATACCCTAAAGTTTTTAAAACATGCACTTAAATACTCCGAAGTTTAGAACATGCACTTAAATACTCTCAAGTTTGCATAACTAAGACTATTTTAGTGCAAGTTTTAAAAATTATAGAATATTTAAGTGCAAGTATTATAAGCTTTCGGATATATATTGCTGCTAAAAAAAGTAAGAATAACTAAATGTATATCTTAAAAACTCTAGGGTATATAAGTGCTATAAAAAACAAGTGAGGATAAATAAGTACAAAGTAGGAGAAACTATGGAATCATATATCCTTACGCTTCTTTCAGTAGCATTTGTATACTCCTGAAGTTTTTAAGCAGTGAGGCCCAGTCACTGAAAAAAATAATTCCTTTTCATACCCTCTGAGCTTCTTCAGTGCTCCCCGTTCCCTCCCAATCTTCGAAACAAAATTCCCATGTTTTTTCCTCCCTTTATTTCCTAAAAAATTCTCCATCAAATCTTTCCCAATATTAGAAAAAGATCCTTTTCTTTCTTATCCTAACCCAAAATTACTCCTAAACTTTCTCCCTAATATCAATCAAAATCCCTTTTGTTACTCGTTAACCACCATTAAACTCTATCCAAAAACAATGAAACCAGAAAAGGAAAACAAATCCATCAACGCTCCCTCTAAAAACCCATTTCCTATTTTGGGCAACTTCCCATTCTCAACTGCCGTTATCGTAGCCTCTCTCGCTGTTTATTTTGTGACGTCATCTCTGTACAAGGAATCCTGGGTGATCGAAGAGAAGGTAAAAGATTGCATCTTTTGGAAAAAGGAGAGAGTTTTGAAGGAGACTGGAGAGGTTACGATGGTGGTGGAGCAGGTTAAGGGGTTGCAGGTTGCGGCACAGGATATCAGCGTTGGCTCCAGTAGCGGGTCCAAACCTGTTTCCAAGGACTCTGTTGTTAATCTCGATCAGTGAGTAGCTTTACTTCTCTCTGCTTTTTATAAAAAACTGAAAAAAGTGTTTTTTTGGGTGTGGTTACCGGAGGTGAGGGTAAGTCGGCAAGGTGAAGTTGTGATTTTGGCGGTAAAATTGTTTTTTTTTTAAATGAAGTTTTTTAGGATGAAGAAAATATGTAGAACTCTACTTATGAGTGCATCTATGGAGATCTTTAAGGGCGATTGAAGACAGTTATGACTGGGGTCCACTTGATGGGTTTTCAATTCCGATGACTGCTGTTATTTATTTATTTATTTATTATTATTATTATTATTATTGTTGTTGTTGTTTTGCAATCAAGAACCTCAGTGGACCAAAAATAAAATTCATAGTTATAAATTCCTTTATCAATGATTGGATATATTTAGAACAGGCATAGATTATCAGGCAACAGTGAGTTTTTTTAATATTGTTACATCATCTTTTTCATGTTTGTTTTTGTGATACTGGTCTTCAGTATAAATTCCAAAAAAATTTCGACACTTTTGGCAAAATTTCTACCATTTTCCTGTACTTTTTTTTGTCCATTACTGATTAACTGTCTGCTTTTATATCTCTCGAGAGAAGATAATTGGTGACTGTTGTTATACTTAAAACTTCTGTGGGAGATGTTAACTATTTTGTGTAGAGATTATCAATTAAAGATGATATTCGTTGTAAAGATGCATGCAAAGCTGTTATACAATCATCTCTTTCATCATTTTGAATATTTTTATATACTGGCAATGCTAGCTTGCATACTTTTCCAAAACTCATGTGACTTTTTTGTTGATGATTCTTTTTGCCTTTTCTATTTATTGTGTGTGTATATTTATAGTAATAAACTGTCCTTTTGAGGAGAGATGAACTGTTAATCATTTGATGTCCAAACCTTATCAATTATAGGCGTTATCTGAAGTGCTTGTTTATAGAAAGATGTTCCCTTTTCTCTGCAATTTTTCATAATTTTCATCCTGATATTAATCATTTTGATACCCAATGTTTATTTGCAGTGGTGACCCGACCATGTTTGAGTCATTTTGGCGAACAATGGGAGAACAGGGAACAATAGTGATCCCAGGGTGGCAGAGGATGAGCTATTTTTCAGATGTGACCAACGTCTGCTGGTTTCTTGAGCCTGATTTTGCTCATGAAATCCGTCGTCTCCACAAGTTGGTTGGCAATGCAGCTGCTGAGGATCGGCATATCGTCGTTGGAACAGGATCTACACAATTGTTTCAGGCTGCTCTTTATGCACTCTCTCCCTCTGACGCAACAATGCCCATAAGTGTTGTCTCTGCTGTTCCATATTACTCGGTAAATTATATTAACTTCAATCTTAGTTAGGATAATCAATCATAGTTTATAAGCTTAATTGATAATTGCATTGCATGTAACTCTTGCATTTATCACCGCTCAATTCGTTTATTAGCACTTATCATCCCTCAATTTGGACGCGGCGGTGATTTCGGTGTTGCCCTCTAGATCTGGGTGGGGGCCTAGACTTAAATTTTAAGGTGGACTTCTGGGTTGAGAATGACTGGTTGTGATGTCCTCTAGAACACACTGCTGTTGTCTGGGATCTTTTTAAGGTTTCAAACGGCTGGGCGACATCGCCTTCGATGTGGTCAGCATGAAGGCTTGCTTTCGGGGTTGAATCGCCGGCCATTTTTAATCCCTTTGCATTGATTCGGTGTGCTTTGGAGTCGGTTGATTTAGGGCTAGGGTTTTGAAATGGGTTTCTGGAGTCGGTTCGATTGGACAGAAAAGAGATGACGGGATACGAACAAAGAGTTAACTCATAACGGGGCAGTTTCAATCGAAGAGTATTTTGTGCATTTCTAAGGGGTTTAAACGGCGTTTCGCCTGGGGATTCGTTTTGAGGGCTGAAAGAAAATTACGACGAATTTTGGGAGCAAAACACCTGTCGAAAAAGTCTTAGGGGAAGAGGGAGCACGTTTTCTTTTGTTTTGGGGGCTGGAAGCATTTTCCCTTGAATTTTTAGTTTTTAGTTCGAGATAAATTGCATATAATTCACTAAAAAAGTCACATCGTTATCTAAAAGCTATGCTAAAATTATCATTTATTATTTTCTTTGTTAAGCTAAATGGTTCCTATAAGATGCGGACATAAGCATCCAAATGGTTTGTTCACGTGAGAATAACTAAATCGTGTGCATTGCACGGGCTAAATCAAATGACATGATAATTTAAATAAAAGTCAGGGTAGTATGAACCTTACAAAGTTTTTGCAAACTCACAATTTTTTGCAAACTCACAATTTTAAGAGGAGTATGATTATTTATACTTGGCTTAATTACAGTTAAATACTATATAGTTTCCCCTACTTTGCAGTTATATATCCTCACTTATGTTTTATAGCACTAACATACCCTAAAATTTTTAAAACATGCACTTATATGTCCTCACTTATTTTAGCAGCAATATATACCCTAAAGTTTTTAAAACATGCACTTAAATACTCCGAAGTTTAGAACATGCACTTAAATACTCTCAAGTTTGCATAACTAAGACTATTTTAGTGCAAGTTTTAAAAATTATAGAATATTTAAGTGCAAGTATTATAAGCTTTCGGATATATATTGCTGCTAAAAAAAGTAAGAATAACTAAATGTATATCTTAAAAACTCTAGGGTATATAAGTGCTATAAAAAACAAGTGAGGATAAATAAGTACAAAGTAGGAGAAACTATGGAATCATATATCCTTACGCTTCTTTCAGTAGCATTTGTATACTCCTGAAGTTTTTAAGCAGTGAGGCCCAGTCACTGAAAAAAATAATTCCTTTTCATACCCTCTGAGCTTCTTCAGTGCTCCCCGTTCCCTCCCAATCTTCGAAACAAAATTCCCATGTTTTTTCCTCCCTTTATTTCCTAAAAAATTCTCCATCAAATCTTTCCCAATATTAGAAAAAGATCCTTTTCTTTCTTATCCTAACCCAAAATTACTCCTAAACTTTCTCCCTAATATCAATCAAAATCCCTTTTGTTACTCGTTAACCACCATTAAACTCTATCCAAAAACAATGAAACCAGAAAAGGAAAACAAATCCATCAACGCTCCCTCTAAAAACCCATTTCCTATTTTGGGCAACTTCCCATTCTCAACTGCCGTTATCGTAGCCTCTCTCGCTGTTTATTTTGTGACGTCATCTCTGTACAAGGAATCCTGGGTGATCGAAGAGAAGGTAAAAGATTGCATCTTTTGGAAAAAGGAGAGAGTTTTGAAGGAGACTGGAGAGGTTACGATGGTGGTGGAGCAGGTTAAGGGGTTGCAGGTTGCGGCACAGGATATCAGCGTTGGCTCCAGTAGCGGGTCCAAACCTGTTTCCAAGGACTCTGTTGTTAATCTCGATCAGTGAGTAGCTTTACTTCTCTCTGCTTTTTATAAAAAACTGAAAAAAGTGTTTTTTTGGGTGTGGTTACCGGAGGTGAGGGTAAGTCGGCAAGGTGAAGTTGTGATTTTGGCGGTAAAATTGTTTTTTTTTTAAATGAAGTTTTTTAGGATGAAGAAAATATGTAGAACTCTACTTATGAGTGCATCTATGGAGATCTTTAAGGGCGATTGAAGACAGTTATGACTGGGGTCCACTTGATGGGTTTTCAATTCCGATGACTGCTGTTATTTATTTATTTATTTATTATTATTATTATTATTATTGTTGTTGTTGTTTTGCAATCAAGAACCTCAGTGGACCAAAAATAAAATTCATAGTTATAAATTCCTTTATCAATGATTGGATATATTTAGAACAGGCATAGATTATCAGGCAACAGTGAGTTTTTTTAATATTGTTACATCATCTTTTTCATGTTTGTTTTTGTGATACTGGTCTTCAGTATAAATTCCAAAAAAATTTCGACACTTTTGGCAAAATTTCTACCATTTTCCTGTACTTTTTTTTGTCCATTACTGATTAACTGTCTGCTTTTATATCTCTCGAGAGAAGATAATTGGTGACTGTTGTTATACTTAAAACTTCTGTGGGAGATGTTAACTATTTTGTGTAGAGATTATCAATTAAAGATGATATTCGTTGTAAAGATGCATGCAAAGCTGTTATACAATCATCTCTTTCATCATTTTGAATATTTTTATATACTGGCAATGCTAGCTTGCATACTTTTCCAAAACTCATGTGACTTTTTTGTTGATGATTCTTTTTGCCTTTTCTATTTATTGTGTGTGTATATTTATAGTAATAAACTGTCCTTTTGAGGAGAGATGAACTGTTAATCATTTGATGTCCAAACCTTATCAATTATAGGCGTTATCTGAAGTGCTTGTTTATAGAAAGATGTTCCCTTTTCTCTGCAATTTTTCATAATTTTCATCCTGATATTAATCATTTTGATACCCAATGTTTATTTGCAGTGGTGACCCGACCATGTTTGAGTCATTTTGGCGAACAATGGGAGAACAGGGAACAATAGTGATCCCAGGGTGGCAGAGGATGAGCTATTTTTCAGATGTGACCAACGTCTGCTGGTTTCTTGAGCCTGATTTTGCTCATGAAATCCGTCGTCTCCACAAGTTGGTTGGCAATGCAGCTGCTGAGGATCGGCATATCGTCGTTGGAACAGGATCTACACAATTGTTTCAGGCTGCTCTTTATGCACTCTCTCCCTCTGACGCAACAATGCCCATAAGTGTTGTCTCTGCTGTTCCATATTACTCGGTAAATTATATTAACTTCAATCTTAGTTAGGATAATCAATCATAGTTTATAAGCTTAATTGATAATTGCATTGCATGTAACTCTTGCATTTATCACCGCTCAATTCGTTTATTAGCACTTATTTTCACATCTCAATCTTCAATTCCTGGGGTGATAATTATTAATAAACTAGTGCTGGTGATAAATCGGTATAGATGGAGGAAGTTATCTGTAATTTACCCATGGTAATTGCAAATAAGTGAAAAATTGCAACTCTTAGTTGTGGTCATAGTAAATGACACCATTAATAAGGTTCTTAAGCGTTAAGATTGTAATTTATTTCCTCAATGCAATCTTGTATTTTGCACTAGTATGATGGTTTGCTAACTATGTTCATGGATTGTAACTTTTGCCGTAACTACTACTACTAAAATTATAAGACGTTATATACAATTTCTTCTACCTTATGTTAGGTTACTTAGTATGTGACTTAATAATAGAGTTATTTGCTTATATATATTATTTGCTTATATATATGTCCCTTAAATCATGAGTATTTGCAAAAATGCCCTCCCCCCAAAAAATCCTAGTATTTGCAAAACTACCCCTCAAATCAGCAACTTTGAGAAAAAATACCCCTAAACTCAAGAAATCATCAACTTGGTGATAAAAAATTGACTATTTTCCTAATAAATTTTACATTGCAGTTACAAATTAGCTTATCAAAGTTGATGATAATTGCTTTGAGGGTAATTTTCCCCCCAAAATTGATGATTTGAGGGGTAGTTTTGCAAATACTGAAATATGTAGGGTACTTTTGCAAATACCCATGATTTGAGGGGTATATATGCAAACGACTCTTAATAATAATTGTTAGGTTTAATTAAAGGTTGGTTTAATTAGGCAGGTAGCTAATATAAATTTCTAGTATTCTAAAGAACACCTTTTCAAGGTTTGCTTCTTTGTCCGCTGTCCTTCAATATGCTGCCTCTTATAGCATGTGATGACAAGTGTTTTCTCCATCAATAAGTTGTTAATAATGGTATCCAATGGTGCTTAACCTTGACCTTAAACCGACTTGACTTCTAAACCAACAAAATTTTGTTAGGTAACATGATCAATATGCTATACATACAATTCTTTGACGGTATCTTATTGTCTTCAAGTAACAAGACGCTACACATGATTAAGTTTTGATGAGGGAAACAAACAGTATACGGCCAAAATACTTCTAGATTTGTTTAAGGGAATTTAAAAAAAAGACCGTTTCTGAAATTATATTAGCAAAATCGACAATTTGTGAATTTAGTTAGCAAAATTGACATCTTTTATCGATTTTGCAAAATATAGCTTTTAAAGTACACGGGGCTAGTAGTCCTGTGTAATTAGTGTTAGCTAATCACATGCTAATTAAACTTTAAAATATATATGAGACTAATTAAACTTTATTAGGGTGTAATTAGACACCACTAAATATACGAGACTAGTAGTCTCATGTATTTTAAAGCTTTATTTTTTGCAAAATCGACCTCTTTTTGGCTAGTTGGCAAAAAGAGGTTGATTTTGCAAAAAATAAAGCTTTAAAATACCTGGCCAAAAAGAGGTCGATTTTGCTAATTATATAAAAAATAGAACGATTTTGCTAATAAAGTTTCAAAAAAGGTCTTTAATTCTCCTTTGTTTAATTCTTCTGCCTGTGATTTTGAAGTAAGGAACCTGTATGTTTCTCACCATGTATGCCTACATTGTCATTAATCTTGAAGTCAATTCATCATTATACAATTGTAGACTATTAATCATGCAGCTTGTAGGGTAACATGACTCAAAACTCAAAGAAATGTGATCTGCACTTATTTTTCCAAATGTCTCCTAATCAGCTGAAAACTTTAACCTGCCTTGTGCTTGCAGTCTTATCCAGCAGTGACCGACTATCTCCGGTCAGGGCTTTTCCAGTGGGCTGGTGATGCCTCTACTTTTACAGGCGATTCATATATTGAGATCATCTGTTCTCCAAACAACCCGGATGGCTTCATAAAACATCCTGTATTGAACTCCAGGAATGGCAAGATGGTTCATGATCTTGCGTACTATTGGCCTTATGTTGTTCACAGTTTCAAAGAGCACTGGCCATGCTGGGACTCGGCTAGGGTAAGCCAATGTCTCTCTTTATGATTTAATATAGCTTCGCGGATGATGTTCACCGCAATCAATTGCAATGCCAGTGGCAATTGCATGCAGCTGCAGGTTTCGGCAACTGCTGTCTCATGCGATTGTCGTTGCTTGGTTCAATTTAAAATGTTGCAATTTGTAGCTGCAAGTGTAGCTATAGTTGTTTGTTTTCATGTATCCAATTTTTTTCTGGGACTTTCTGTGGGGATTTGGTTTCAGGTGGAAGTACAACCTAGACCATGTTTGGATTATAATCCACTTTTGCATGTTTGGTATCCACATTTTAATTGAGTTATTTGGGACTATAATCCACCAAAAAACTAGCTCGGTTTCCTAGTTATTTTTTTGGTGGATTATAATTCACATGTTTGACCGATTAAAAGACAAAAATGTCCATCACTTACTACATCTCATTCTTTATCCTCTTCTCTCGTCCCACTTTAAGTGTTCTTTTTTTTATTTATTATAAACCACCTCTTTATCAAAAACCTATATTTAGTCTACTTAGATTATAAACTACAAATAGATTATAGCCCAAGTGCATTGTAATCTAGAATTGAAAAACATGTCGTTAAGCTCTGTTTGCAACTTACATCCAAATTTGTGCAAGTCGTTGTCTGAAATGGGATGATTTTTTGCAATTGTAATTGCAACTTCATCTGAAATGGGATGATTTTTTGCAATTGTAATTGCAACTTCATTTATCGGTTGCAGTGAAACAAATATTTGCAATTGACATAAGATATCCCACTTGAGAATAGTTACTATTCCTTTACAATATATAACTACCATTGCAGTTAACCAACACCTTTACTGAAGACTCATGTATATGTGATGATTTCCTGCCTCATCAAACAGATGGGCAATTGTGAAGGACCGTGAAGTAGCAAAGAAGATGACCAAATTCATCGAGCTGAACACAATCGGGGTATCAAAGGACTCACAGGTTCGAGCTGCAAAGATACTGAAAGTGGTATCTGATGGCTATGAGCTCCTGGTTCCCGACCCTTCAGCGAGGCTATTCGACTTTGGGAGGATAATTCTTCAGGATCGATGGGAGAGGCTGAGGGAGGTTGCAAATATGACAAAAATGTTCAGCTTGCCTGAGTACCCGTCTGACAACTGCAACTTTGCTGGAAAGTTGACTTCTGCAAATCCTGGTATGTCAGAGTTCTTGTTGAGAAAACTTACCTTTTTTCTGATATAAGATCACAATGAAAATGGTAGAGATGGCTGATACTTTAATTCGAAAGCCTGAAAGTGGAAACCAAGTACTTCTCCCTCCATTAAGCTTGCAAGATGGAGAAAAAAACCAAGAAAAACATCAGGAAATCTGTGATTTTGACTGGCAAAATTCATTCAACATCCACTGTACACCAATAGATAGGATTAATATTGAAAGGATAATAAGATTACAATAACAATGTTTCTGATTTCATATCCTCTCTCACGATAGACCTTTTCTCTTATGCCGTACTCCATGCATGAGAAGCCAAAAACCAAGTCTTTTTTGCACACAAAAGAGATCTTATATAGTGCTTTCTTATGAAATCATATTCCACAATGTTAGATGCAAACCAGAGCTAAGACCCAAATGGAACTTGATGCTCCACCATATATGAGACATTGTTCATTGAGCCCAAATAACCTATTGATAAACCATTGATCTCGCAACCTACTCCCGAGGTAAAACCACACGCATCGTGCTCATCGAGAATAACCTGCACAATAACTTGAGCACCTCTTATGCTTACTACACCTTGCTGTTCCTCGAGTACTCATAAGCGAGTATACGCAGTGCTACGTAGCAAATCACTAGAGTGTTTATATAGTGTTCTGAAGTTTGAATCGAGTTCATTCAAGATGATAATTAGTAGCAATTGGGATCATCCTTTTTGATGTTCTATCTTAGGACAATAAAATCTCATTTGTCCATTGAATCATCATTAACCGCCATCTCGTATTTATCCAGTACCATTGGCACCTGAAGATCTTTTTCTATTATAAGCTTCCAACATGCGTTTTCTGATTCTTAGTCTAAGGTCAAATAAGGATGCCTGAAAGCCAAAAAAAGTGACGAAAACGGTGATAGGTTTCTATGTTTTTGAAATTGCACAATTAATGAATATCCAATCAAAACCTGTCTAAATTATTACTCTTGTGGGTATTTGCAGCTTTTGCCTGGTTGAAATGTGAGAAGGAAGGGATTGAAGACTGTGAGAGCTTTCTGAGGAATTACAAGATCATAACTCGAAGTGGTAGGCATTTCGGAGTGGAAGCCACGTATGTGAGAGTCAGCATGTTGGATCGTAGCGAAACATTTGATCTTTTTATCGAGCGATTATCTTCACTCCAGTGAGAGCAATTCTTTTATCCATCAGTTTTTCTAATGTGATTATAGAGCAGGGGTACAGAGCAGTGAGAGTGAGTTCTTTTTATCCTTTTACTTAGGAGTTCTTTTTTGTTATTTTTCGGTCACCTTGATTAGGTGACGATATCTTGCTATCCTTTTCAATACTTATAGTGCATATTTTCATGTGTACATGAGTTGAGTACTTTTTCTGTGTATATTAGCCCTTGCTTTCAGTTCGTATTAATATTATTATTATTATTAACTGCACGACTTATATAGATATGAGAAAACTGGATAGTATTGAGAAAAACATAGTTCATGTGATACAAAAGAGTTCGTTAATATGTCCATTATAACTAAAAAGTTAAGATTAGACATCTTGATCATCAAAATTAACCACAAATCCATAATCTAAGAATCGAAACTATCGTAAGAGTATGACTAATATGTATTCGGATATTTCGGATACGGATACAGATATTTCACTACTAAACCATATCTGTAACCATATCTTATCGATTATAGATTTGAGTAACCATATTCGTATCCTAACAGATACGGTTGCGGATATTTTCTCGGATACGGATACGGTTTAGCACCCCTAGGTAGGAGGGGGGGGATTTTGTCACCATTGCGAATCTCATAATCACAAAGCATTTTGAACACTCTTAAGTCCATTCTCCAACACCTTTTATTAGTATATACCTAAAATTCCTGTATCTTTTTTTCTGGGGGAACAAAAGTCTTTGCCTCTTTTTTTTGGGTGAAGTTAGGGCATCTATGTTTTTGCCCCTTGGGTCTCTTGGCAAATTGAATTATAAGATTGGGTTTTAATGATTCTATAAAACGAAATATAAAAGAAAAGAAAGAAGTTAAACATATATAAAAAAATATGCTAATGGCAAGGTGCCGAACAAGGTTAGTATGTTTATTTAGCGATGCTTGCTGTCAGGTTGGTCACGGGGCTAATGAGGATACAATTTTGTTTGCTTCAAATAGAAAACTTTAATTCTTTTGGTGATATCGTTGAAAGAATTTGGAGTTCCTCGCCGCAGCTATTGGACTTATTTGCTATCATCTCTTGCAAACTTTGGAATAATAGGAATATTGTTGTGGTTTTTGAGAATAAATATGATTCGCCTGGAAGTATAATAAATATGGTTCGCCTGGAAGTATTCTTTGTAGTAGCATTTCCTATCTAAATGAATACAAAGAAGCTGATGGTACTTACTCGCTCCCTAGGGATTGTTCAGGTATTGGGGTTATTATTGTGTGTGATCATCATCGGCAAGTAATGGCGGCGGCAGCTTTTAAACGTCCTCTTCTCCTTGATGTGATCATGGTGGGAGCTCTAGCTATTCTCGAAGGATTGATATTTGCAAATGAAGCGGGATTCACTAGAGTTCACGTCGAAAGTGATGCCCTCTTGGTAATTCAAGACGTTGAGAGAACAGGTCCTTGTATGTCTAGTTTTGGAACTATTATTGCTGGCATTAAACTCTCATGATTCAAGAGAGATGGAAATTGAGCTGCTCCATTGTCTAGCTCAACAAGCATTGCTTGTTAGTTCAGGATGTTAGTGTTTGGTTGGAGTTCCTCCATCCTTTCTTAATTCTCTTGTAATGAACGAGTGTAATTTCTGATTTAATAATATCTCCACAGGTGCTGTACTTTTTAGTTTTTTCCCACTGGGTTTTTAACGAAGCAGCACCTTTATTCCTTGTAATAAAAAAAAAAGCTAAGGATCAGCTCCCAAATGACCCAAAAATAGGAAGTCCAAATTAGTAGCCCAGCTTCAATCCAGACACCATAAGCTTAAAAAAGAAAATAGGGAAAAGACACTTGCGGTGAATGTTAAACATATCACACAAACGATATACTTGCGGTAAATCACGAAAACTCTGAGAGATCTAATTTCTGCTCATCTCAGTGTTAATTTGATTAATGATAAACACGACAAACGTTATATTTAGAGCATAAAACGCATGAGAAAAGCACATGTAGCTTCCTTATCATCTAGCTATATAGAGATCATTCTTCTTCCTTTTCTCTCGTGGTCGACATTGTCTCCTTTTTTTTCTTTTTTCTTTTTATAACCCAGCTAGTAGTTATAACCCAGTCCGGAATTAAAAAATAAGGCCGTGGGTTATAACTATTCCAACTTTTTTTTTCTTTTTATAACCCAGCCTCGTTTTAGCCCAATCCGGAATTGAACTTAGACCATGGGTTATAACTATCTGGTTGTAACTATTCCAACCATCAGGGTTCATCCACGGTGATTCTTAGTGATTCTTATGATTATCATAATGGTAGCAAACAATTATATGGCTTAATTCCTTAATTATAAGATCGTGGGTTATAACTATCCTAACCATCTGCTAACTATTCCGACCCTTGGTGATTCTTATAATTATTGTTAATTACCAAACAATTATATGGCTTAATTCCTAAATTATGGATAGACTCTGAAATTATAGATAAAATTTGAGAGCTATGGATAGACTCTGAAAGCTATATTAAAACCTCCCAACCATCCGGTAGACTCTGAGAGCTATATTAAAACCTCCAAACCATCCGGTTCACCCATATTCATTATGGTTGTTGTTAGCTAACAATTATAAGGCTTAATTGCGGATAGACCCTGATGCCACCCAATTTGATCCCCGTAGCTTCTATTGCTGAAGATGAACTGACTGAATTTGATCCCTGTACTTTCTGTATGCAGCAAGAAAACTACAAGGCGTAATATGACGAGGGTTCTATCCGTAAAAAATCGACCCAACACAATTAGCTAGCTAGTGTAGGCGTCAAAAATTGCCTATGGATTCCCGTACGCAGCTCGAGGCGAAATACAGATGATAAGCGTCATCATTCAAGTTAGGAAAGGATTATCCGGCCTCGTGGAAGCTAACAAATATACAAAGTGAGTCATTGGAGTGTACAAGTCAACGGATTAAGAAATGAGCGATACAAGTCTGGAGAAGTCAGAAAGTGTCAAACACCTCAAAGTGGCCCGCATAAAGAATTGATATTTTTACCATAATACAATTCGAATCTGGAAAAATTAGATAAACGTTGAAGGTCTATTCGCCAGCTTTCTAACGCATCTTGAATCACCTCATTCCGAGGTCGGATGAGTGAGTTAAGACCACTACAATACCGCGCTATAGTAACCGCATATCCGCGCTACAGTAACCGCAGGGCACCGATTGGTGACCCGCGCTATAGTAACCGCAGGTCAGGTCTGTCTGACTCGTGCCTCCTATCAGTCAGCAGACGCCGACTTATGTCTGTAACCACCAAAACGCTTTTCGGTTTATTTCGATCAATTTCTTCTGTTCTGGAACCTCCATAACTACCTGCAAATCATATCTAAACGTGAGTGGATGGTTGTTAACTGAAGATAGGGTCAAATCCTTTGTTCTTATTAAAATACCCTTCATCCGAGGTCCTATAAATACAAACCTAAGACTTTTTTTCTCAGGGAACGAATTATTATCAAAACGAGGAGGTACTGCCGAACTTCAAAACCAAGAGCCACGAATTTCAGCAAGGACTAGCGAGATTCCGACGAATTTCGACATAAAGAAGAAGTCTTTCAAATGATCTGAAGCTCGTTTCCACATTTCCTTGAGGTTAGGCTTGATCTTAATCTCGAAAAGAACACTGATTTCGCTTGGTCGATATCAATATTTCAGCGAATACTTTCTTGGTGAAGTTGAAATAAGAGCTCTGATTAATCATTCTGTCAACCGAATTCGATCCGTAGACGGTCCACGGATATCAATATCCCGACACACCGACACAGGCAAAAATCTCACGTAAACAGAGACTAATAAATAAGATTTGTGTGTTATTTGAAAGAGATTATAATCAGTTATTTCCATTGTGTAAAAGTCTTATAAAAAACTAACTTTTTGTTGAGTTTATTGTAACGTCTGAAGTTGCAATAGATTCAATCACAATGAAGAAAATAATTTTTGACCCAAACAGATAGTAGGAAATATACTACAATTATAACATATCGATTACTAACTAACTTACACATAATCTCTCTTCATGCACTCTCATTACCACAAGAACTTTAAAACCATAACACACCAACATTAACATGCCAACCCAAATTGATCATGTCCTCTCCCCCGCCTTGCTCTGAATCCCCTGCCCAAGATCCTTCGTCCGCTG